CCTTTCTTTTCTTTCTTTCTTTTTCTTTTTCTTTCTCTTTCTCTCTCTCTTTCTCCCTTCCTTCCTTCCTTTCTTTCTTTCTTCCTTCTTTCTTTCTCTTCTTTCTCTCCTTCCTTCCTTTCTTTTTCTTTCTCTCTCTCTCCCTTCCTTCCTTCCTTTCTTTCTTTTTCTTTTTCTTTCTCTCTTTCTCTCTCTCTTCCTTCCTTCCTTCCTTTCTTTCCTTCTTTCTTTCTTTCTACAGGGTCTCACTATGCAGTTTACACAGGCCTAGAACTCACTATGTAGCCCAGACTGGCCAAAAACTCCCTGCAGTCCTCATGCCTTAGCCTCCCTCATGCTGGGATTATAGGCAAGTGCCATCACATGTTTTGTTTTTTATTTTGAGACAGACCCTCTCTCAGTGGCTGAGTTATTCAGGCTAGACTCAACTTGATTTTCTTGTCTCAGCCTCCTAGAGTGCTGGGATCACATACATTCTGCACCATATCCACCTCAAATTATTTTTTTAATGAAAATTATTTTCATTGTAAAACTGCCAATTATAAGCAAGAAGGATAAATAGTCAATTTTTTGTTCACCCCTCTTTTGTTCACTTTCACACTTATGCAGGTACAATCTTATTCATGGGACGAGTCATGCATCCTGAAACAATGAACACAAGCGGACATGATTTTGAAGAACTTTAAATTACTTCATTTGAGTAACAAGGAAAATATTAGTGAAGCACATTATGTTTGCAACTGGTATATATTTAAGATTTGTGTTTTACAGTAATAGTTCAGTGTTTTAAGGTGATATTTAACATAGTTGTAGATAGAAACAATATATGTAAATTATAAGTCAACAGTGTCAAGGAATGTTATCAGTATTAAGGTAATGGTCCTGTTATGTCATTGTGTTTATTGTGATGTTATTTAAAATAAAAGTATATACTGAACATGGGAACAGCTGTTTTTATTTTAGAAATTGTAGAATATAGATAACTCTAGGTTAAATATGAGACCTATAATGTTTGTTCTGAAATTAAAGCACACTGGTTCCACTAAATAAAAAAGCAGTGATGTTTTTGACCTCTCAACTATTTCATAATCCTGCAGAATCAAAGCACCAAAATAAATTAGCATTATACATTTATTATTTTTTTTAAATTAATTTTATTGGTACATTTTAGGTATACAATTCATTGACATTTATCATTGGGTGCTTGTACCTGTACATGATATATCTTGGTTCTTATTTTTTTCCCCATTACTTGTGTGCCCTTCACCCCCTCCGCCCTTACCTATTTACATAGATTTCATTTCCATTTTTTTTCTTTTCTCATAGTTTTTTCTTTCCCTCTTTTTCTTTCCCCTTCCCCTCCCTTCACTCCTTCATCTTTGGACCTTTTTTCCTATTTCAAATTATCAATTATTCATTTTAATCATTTAAACCCTTGTTTACACTATCAGTTTCTCACACTAGAGAAACTATTTGGTATTTACACATGTGTGTCCTATTATTTCACTTAAGAGTATGGCCTCAATATGCATCCATTTAGCTATAAATGACTCTAGTTTTTCATTCTTTATGGCTTAGTAGTACTCCATTTTATAAAAAAACCCCACATTTTCTTTATCCATTTTCCAGTTGATGGGCACTTGGGCTGTTTCCAAGCTTTAGCTATTGCAAACTGTGCCACTATGAACATGGGTGCACATATATCACTGTGGTATGATTCTTTTAATTCTTTTGGGAAGATACACAGCAGGGGAATAGCTGGGTCAAATGGGACCTCTAGTCCTAGTTCTTTGAGGTATCTCCATACTGACTTCCACAGTGGTTGCACCAGTCTGCACTCCCACCAACAATGGAGAAGGGTTCCTTTCTCCCCACAACTCCGCCAGCATTTTGTTATTTGTTGATTTCTCGATAGCAGCCATTCTTTGTGGGGTGAGGTGGAATCTCAGTGTTGTTTCCATCTGTATCTCTCGAATGACGAGTGATGTTGAACATTTTTTCATATATTTGTTTGCTGCTTTTACTTCTTTGTCTGAGAAATGTCTGTTCATTTCAGATGCCCATTTATGAATTGGGTCTTTGAATTTGGGGGGTCTGATTAGCATTATACATTTATATATAACAAGTAATAACATGTGAGGTGAAGGCAGGTACACCACAAAAATCTCATTGTCATTTGGAAATCTGTGTAGAGGGTAGTACAGTACAAGGTCTTGGAAACTGAACATCTTTTGTGTGGTTCCAGGACAAAACTTTATATATATATATATATATAGAGAGAGAGAGAGAGAGAGAGAGAGAGAGAGAGAGACTAATCCTGTAGACGTGTTGATGTATTTACTGTAGTATTACACTTTTTATTTATTATTTTAGAGTGTACTAGTGCAGATCTAAGAAATTTACTGTAAAGCAGTATTACCATTAAGATCCCATCAGTAACCTCACACATCTCCTGTTCACACTGCTGCTTGACTACATCAAGAGGCCCTGTCCTGTGACTGACCTGCGCCATCCAGGCTGGTGTAAGAGCTCTCTCTGAATTTCTCATAAAGATGAGGCTGTCTAATGATATACTTCTTAGAACACACCCCAGACGTTAAGCAACACATGACTATACTAGCTATTTAGGGATGTTTAATTTATAGGAAGGTAGGTCAATCAGTGCTTCTGTTACATCAGTGCTTCTTAAAATGGCAATCTTAGTAGATTTGAGTGGGGCTTGAGGTTGTACATTTCCGACAAGCTTCCAGTGATGCTTTTACTGTCTGTCACTTTGGTACCAAAACTGCACTTACCATAAGGTTTGCATGTTTGATATTTTTATAAATGGAAACAGAAAGACTGTATAATTTTCACAGAGGTTGAAGGGATTCAGGATGGCATGGTATAGTGCATCGATAATGTAATACACTTGCACCCCCCAAAAGTGGTTTTACTCTAAAGTATTTTGCTCTATTACACACTATTGCTAAATGCAAAATTCCTCAACATGTTAGAACATTGGAAATATGTTCTCTAAAAATATGGAAAAATTCATAGGCGATACTCATGGAAAAATTTATCAATGCCCATGGACACAATACTTAACACTGAATCTTTTACAGGTTATATTTTCAGAGAATTTATAAATTATATGAATTTATAAATTTATAAATCTTAGATTATTATAGATTAATGCTGTTGTTTCATTTATAATTTATGCAAGCTAGCCTACCTGATGTTGATTCAATACTGATATTCTGAGTTTGTAATGTTCTTCATTATTATGTCACTACTTGTTAATCATTGTATATATGGCTATATCTGTACATTCACTGGCCAGCTTACTGTGTTACCTGTGAGGAAGAATGATTGTCATTAGACAATCATGTGGATTTTATAAATCCCCAAATGCAATTTTTACTAGTTGACATAGGATTATCTACTATTCAGAATGTACATCTTTAAATATTTCGATAATTTAAATACCATTTAAGTGAAAATAAGTGATCCCTGTTATTAGCACACTTATGGAATGCTTAAAAATAATACTGAACAGTACCAAGGTTTTCCTTTGGCTTTCTTTGGTTTATAATTTCTTCAATATTTTCCTTTTTCTCAGAAAAGCAATGTAGTATATTTCAGTTGCATTCACTTTTAAAAGAATGTTACTACATAAACACATACATGCATAGCATGAACAGTTTACCAAAGCTTTGTGCTCTTTGAATCTATTTGAGGGAATAATAATAATTAAATAGATTTTGCTTTTATTTGAAATCCTGGTTTTACTTTTTTGTGTATGCAATAGGCTGGATTGAATAATTAAAAAGAATATAATCTTACAGATTTTGTCATCATCACTAAACCAAGTAGTTGTTAGAATCAGTCCTAGAAATGTTTCTTTGAATAATGAAAAAAATTGTTGTATGAAAACAATGAAAATAAAGAGAAAACATGGTTAAAGGAACATATTTCATTCTCATTAAATATGGATGTGTCAATAATATAATTCACTGGTTTTGGTATATAATCAGCTTCTTGAATTTATAATGATACTCATTTTTCTCATTTGAAAGGTAACTTTTTTAAAAAACAGAATAGCCTAGGGCATTTCCTTTAGTACTCAAGGCAACTTGAAATGCATCTTTGTGAAGTGTACGTCTTTTTTGTACTCCTGAGAAAATAAGATGAATGACTATTTGTAGTACACAAAATGGTTGATGAAAAATCTGTAACTTTACTCTCAGAACCTCATTGTGTCACGGTCCATTACAGAGGGAATCCATTTAAAGAAGACAGAGTGCAAGGTTCTTTAGTTAAAAATTGGAGTGCAAGGGTTTTTTAGTTAAAAGACTTCATTTTAAAAATTTCCCAAGGTATGGAGCCAATAAAAAATATTCCAACAAAGTTTCAATGTTTGATTCCTTCCAGAAAATACTTTTTAAAAAATGTTCTAAAGTAAAAACATATCTTCAGTTTGACTAAAGTCATAACTGGAAAGAAATTCTAGACCCCGATGAACAAGAACCCCAAACACTAATTCAGATCTTGTTCCCTAGAAAATGGTGGGATCACTAGAGTGATGGGTCCTTGAGGGAGATGTGGTATTGGAGCAAGGAAAGGGAGATATATAAAGGAGTGTGTGGGTAAAGGCAAATCTAAAACTAGCTTCCTACAAATTTTTACCAATTGGTATGTGGGATCCAGGTACAAAGGAGCCTGTCTCAACCCACTTCCAAGTCACCTATCATTGAAAAAAGGAGTTAATATTTTTCTGCCAGGAAACTGAATCAGGAAGCCATTCCATTACATTTCTATCAGGTTGTGTATCTGTGTATGTGTGTGTGAGTGTGCATTTGCATGGGAACATATGTACATATGTTTGTCCACTTTTTTCTTTTCCTTTTAGTGTTTAAAAACTTAGTCTCTGCACTGAAGATTTTTCTCCTTATGATAGATATCAATAAATGAAAGTCTTTCAACATCCATTATTATTTACTGGGAAGTAATTTATGCTCCTCCAGAATGCTTCATAGTATTTATTCCAAAGCTCAAAGAAGCCCCTTCAGAGGAAAAGAGGGGAAAAAACCTGTTTATAACGTGAAACTCATACCTGTAGAGAGTCCTTGCTGTGCAAAAACACTTTCATGTTGAGTTTCTTATTCAAATTCCACAATTTTAAAATAGACAAAGAAATATTATTGCCATTTTAAAATTATATGAATCGAAGTGATATTTAACTAGTAGCTGAAAAGGAACTGAGTAATAATTTACTTGACTATATTGTACTATTTGATACATAGGTGAAATTTATCAACCTTTACCTAGCAGTATCCAGTTTATATGTGAATGAACAAATGAATGTAACAATGTCTTTGTCAAACATGAATTATTTTAAAAATGTGTTCCCCAGCAAGTTCAGCTGGCTAACAAGATTCATAACAGTGTCTCCTCTCTGTAGTAGGACAATAAAGGAAAAAGGCCATCAAAGGAAGCCCCTGGAGACCCCAAGCCAATTAAAGTATCTAAAATGTTTGCTTTTCCTAGCTCAATACTATTTAACAAAGATTATATTTTGCATTATGCCTATGTAATATGACCCAGAAAAGAAAGTCTGAAAAAAGCAAACTTGTTATAAACTTGTAGCAATATTCAAAGGAAATTAGAATTTGGTGCCAGGTTTTGTGATATTGGAATTTCTTTGTACCATGTATCACAGTTTTGCAGTTCTATTATTAAGTCAGAATAAATAAGTACATTAAGATCTTAGTAAAAAATTTACTGTGTCTAAAAAGTTCTAAATTGCCATGATTTAAGACATTTACATACATCAAAATTCATTTATTTTGGTATATATAGTTCTATAAGATTTAAAATGTGTAGATTCATGTAACCATTACAATCAAATAGAAAACAGTTCGCTTGAAAATTGTTTGCTCCACCCCTTCATAGTCACATCTCTC